AAAAAAAAAAAAAAAAAAACTGGGACTAAGTAAGATATGGCGTTAATCAATTTGACTTTAGTGACTAATTGGGTCATAAAAATACTATAATGACCCATTTAAAATTTTGCTTGAACTTCAATGACCGTTAGTGAAATTAACTCCATAATAAAAATTATAAATTATTGACAGAAACGGAATGAACATCAAGAAATCTACGATTATTTATATGAATTTCCAGCTTGCTAATGTTGGTGACTTTAATGGTGTTGAGGCTCTATATATTACACCTCATTTCATTCAATTGTTACATGTAAACTTGAGTGCAATATAACATATACATACATACATATATACTGTATTTGCAATCTATATACATCATTGAATCGAAATGGAGAGAGAAGGGTATTTAGTTTTCTCTCTTCTTGTGTTTGTGGGGGCGTTGAGCTTGCATATGAGTCGTACCGAGGCGGCGATAGGGCTGCCACCGGACGCGAAATTTCTGAGACGGCAGTACTACAAGAAGCTAAATACGTGTGAAAATGCGGAGGCGTTTGTGAAGCACCAAGTGCAGGTGTACTGGAGTAAGGATCGCAGCATCACTGCTAAGCTGGTCAAGTTGCTATATGCAGATTGCATGGTTAATGTAGGTTCATTTCCTCACCTTAATGCTTTTATCTCTTTGTTTGACAAATTGCAACTCTTGCCTGCTTTCTTTTATACGATGTACGTCCTTCCATTGTCGACTTGCTATTTGCTAACACTATCTAATGTGATGAGGTGTTACAGCGAAATAGGGAAAACGAAATAGTAACAACAGATGTCAACTTGCTTGGCACAAATCCTTACTAGTTTATTATTGGTGAAAAATTTACAAATAACTTAACCTCCGTTTGGTTGTCAATTTATAAATGGTTTATAAATTCAGTCAAAGTTAAACATTAATCTACTGTGTATGTTTTCTAGTTTTGTCATTAAGGGTGTGTTTGGTTCATTAAATTACACAAGAAAAGATAGTTAAGTAAGATAGGTATGTAATAAGATTTGTCGATTGTCTTATTTAGTCGAGAATACAAACCAAGAATGCAAATATAGTTCTAACTTCGACAAGAAAATGATAATTTTTTT